TATCCCAAGCGAGTAGTGATCAAATGACTTTGACTTAACACTTACATGTTAATATATCTAACAATCCAAACTCAGTTATGTAAATATCTTAACAGTTAATATATAATTTTATTTTTTGTAATATTTTTTTACCTTGTACTTTCCTGTTTTAACTCTGGAAGTCCCCACAGGGATTAATCCAGGTCCATCTGATCTTATCTTAAAATACTGGGTTATTAGAAGTTCATTTCTGCATCTTTTCCCCTAAGAATATCCTGTGTTTATAAATGTAAAAAGTAAGTGAGTGTTTAATAAATATAATGGAGTAAACATACATTGTCCCCTGAAATAAAATGGGGTGGAAGTATTAAGTTGAATACAAAAGAATGCAGAGGTCGACTGTCCCTGTGTGTGCATGTACACGTGGGACAAAATAAAGAGCGTTCATCCTCCACCTGAATAAAACACATGAAAGTATAGATACGTTTTTATTGTAATAATGTAAACCCATAAACAGTACAATCAAAAAAAAAGATGACCATCATACAACAGCAGATTGTCCGTTAGTTGCATAGCTCAGGTGAGTCAGGTGTACTTTCTACTGACCACAGGTGAGGAGTGACATATTTGGGATACTTAGCATGTAATGTAACTTAGAGACATCGTGCAGATTCATCATCGCAGTTTAAATATAACTTTAATGTATTTAAAGCATTTACACCCCCTCGTATCATGTGACTCAGTCTCAATGACCCACGTTAAAACAAAGGAGTGCTGTGAGGGGAAACAACAATGGAAATAATGTCACATTTTTCAACAGAATTTTAGTTTTAATCCCAAAATAAAGTCATATTTTCTAGTCCTCAAAGTCCTTACGGTGGCAACAAGTCTGCTATATGTTAATGTTATGTATGCGAGTGTGCTCAAACTCTACTTCACAAATGTGTGTGAAAGGCAATTTAATTTCTAGTCACACACACTTACACACACCTCTTAGGAAAATGACCGTTGTTTTTTGCTCTGATGTTGTTTTTGTTTACGCAGTTTGAGAAGTAAACACAAAAGTATGACCACGAGTGTAACATGTTTTTTAAAATGGAAACAGTAAATAATAAACTATTTCTGAGCAAATCCATGTTTAGTATGTAGAAAGCAACACATGATTACACAAACTGAAAATAATACCAACATATATTCAAAGTGATAAATATGTTTAAAAAGTATAACACGAGTGGAAGTAACATGTTGTTATGCAAATGTGATTTACTGTTTTTAAAACTGTAATGACTGTTTTTTAAAGTCCCAAACAAATATAGTTATAAATAAATAAATAAAATAGAGTAACTCTGATCCCACAATAGGGTCGAAAATGCTAAATATCTAAATAAAATTAATAATACATTTAAATCAAACAAATGTTTTTCTTCTATCCAACCCAAATAATAAAAAAAATGTGGGGAATTTAAACATGTCTGTGTCTTGGCAAAAACACAAATATCTTCCTTTCAATTAATCAATTAATAATAACAAAACAATTAAACCTATTTTATTTTATTCCATTAACCCCAATTTGTTTTAAAGAAAAAATAAGGGAATTTAAACTAGAAACACGTCCATGTCTAACCACTATCAAGAGTTTAGTTTCCAATTAATAATACATTTTAATCAATTGTTTTTATTCCATTAAACCCAATTTGTTTGAAAAAGAAATAGGGGAATTTAAAGGTCCCATGTCATGGCCATTTCTACTGATCATATTTCCATTGTTGAGGTATACTAGAATAGATTTATATTGTGCAATGTTCCAAACTCACATTGGTTTCTCATACAGCATCTCTGTATAGTATGTGTATTCACTCTCTGTCCTACACGGCTTGTTGGAGCTCCTGCCCCCCCCCTCCCTGTGAGCCCAGTGGCCGTCTGCGAGACCGCGAGACACAGCGAAACCCAGCCCGAACACACACACACCCGCAGCCTGGCTGGGAGTTTGTGTGTGTGCTCACACACCGACTCACAGCCTCGCCGCGTCCCGCCGTCTCAGGGAGGAGAAATCGGCGGAGCTGCAGCTGAGAAAAGATTGAGTGTGTGTGTGTGAGGAAGTCCGCGGATTGGTCAATTTGGACCAATCCACGGACGTAACGTAACGGCTCCACGGATTGGTCCATTTTGACCAATCCACGGAGGGGTCGTCGTTACGTCACTTGGTTCCCGGAAGAAACAAATGGAAAAAGAGAAGTCCCCAACGAGGCGTTCTGGGGCAGCATAGACAGGTCTTTTCTGTGTTAGAGTTTTACTCGCTACAGGGTGTACTTTGAGGGTTTGTGACGCTGCAGACCGTTTACATGCAGAAAAACCTTCATAACACACAAGGGGACGGGTAATAAACGGAAAAGCATGACATGGGACCTTTAAAACATGTCTATGTCTTAGCATAGACATGTTTGAACACAATCAAGTGTAATAATAAAACAATTAAACCTATTATTTATAAAGAAAAAATAGGGGAATTTAATCTAGAAACACGTCCATGTCTAAACACAATCAAGTGTTTCCTTTCCAATGAATAATAGTTATAATAAAACAATTCCAACGATTGTTTTAATCCCATCAAACCCAATTGGTTCAAAAATAAAAAGGGGAATTTAAATAAAAAAACACACGTGTAATAAGATGACTTATATGGGAATCTGTATAAGTGTATTGAGCTTCCAATCAGCTTTTTATTATTTATAAATGGAGTTTTAGTGAGTAACTCTTCTGCGTACACACAGCTCTGGAAAACATGAAGAGACCACTGAAGCATTATCCGTTTCTCTGGGTGTGTGTTTGAGTAAAATCGTGTGAAATGTGTGTTCTATAAACCATTGACTACATTTCTCCGTGTTGACATTTAACAGTCACCGGAGTTAATGCCATACATGTAGAGATTGAGATTTAAGAAACATGTGGAGTGGATTCTTCATGTTTTTCCAGAGATGTATGTATATCATGACTTATATGGGAATCTGAATACGTATATCAGCTTTTTATTAATACATGGAGAGTTTTAGTTTCCTGGAATGAGTTGTTTTTCTACGATACAGCGATTATAAATCAGATATCATTGGTCCATCCATCACAGCGCTTCAATGGCGTATATATATTAGTGTAACATTTGGTAAGAGCTCATTTTGCTTTTCTCTCCAAGTATATGTTGTAATAATCCTGTATCAAGCTTCTATTTGACATTTTACATCACGTTTTGAGACATTTTGTGATATAAAAGTGTCTTCTCTCAATCCCCATTCATCCCGTTGTAGTTTAGTGCTCTGCTAATTGTTAAAAAGCACATTTAAGTTGTGTTTTTTGTTGGATTAGGTGTCATTTTCTCCCCACATAGTATCCATATCATAACAGAGTAACAGTTTGAAGTATTTTTTTAGTAGAGAAGCATTGGGTTAATGCAACAGCAGTCGGGGAATGTCACGTGATCGCCTTCATATAGCAGTTCATGATAAACATTAAAACACAATGCATGTTGTGCTCAAAGGAAAACACTCTCAAAATGATCATTTGATTATGAATTACTCACCCTGTGTGGCCCTTGAATTCATGAAGAACACTTCGTTTTTCTCACATACCTCCATGTTAAACAAAGCGTCAAAACACAGAGACAATTCTGGATCAATTAGAGTAAACGGGGTCTCCTCTTTTAACAAACTCTTGCACAACTGGTGCAGTATGATCCAAGATGGAGTAGCTCACTACTTCCTAAAACAAATGCAATTTCACTAAAAATCTGACTCGTTATAACACTTAAGCTCTAACCAGTCTCACTGTTAAAATAGTAATGATTCCTGTGAAGTAGTGAGCATGTAACTGGATAAATGAGACTTGGATTATACTGCATAAGTTCTGAGGGAGAGTTTGTGAACAGCTGTTTTCATACAGTTTTGCTTTTATTAAAGGGGCCCTACCAGGCTCATTTTCAGGCTCGTATCAGTATGTAGTGTCTCTACTTTAAAGAGTCCTCTCCTGCTGATGTTCAGGTGTATATCAGTATGTAGTGTCTCTACTTTAAAGAGTCCTCTCCTGCTGATGTTCAGGTATATATCAGTATGTAGTGTCTCTACTTTAAAGAGTCCTCTCCTGCTGATGTTCAGGTGTATATCAGTATGTAGTGTCTCTACTTTAAAGAGTCCTCTCCTGCTGATGTTCAGGTGTATATCAGTATGTAGTGTCTCTACTTTAAAGAGTCCTCTCCTGCTGATGTTCAGGTATATATCAGTATGTAGTGTCTCTACTTTAAAGAGTCCTCTCCTGCTGATGTTCAGGTGTATATCAGTATGTAGTGTCTCTACTTTAAAGAGTCCTCTTCTGCTGATGTTCAGGTGTATATCAGTATGTAGTGTCTCTACTTTAAAGAGTCCTCTCCTGCTGATGTTCAGGTGTATATCAGTATGTAGTGTCTCTACTTTAAAGAGTCCTCTCCTGTTGATGTTCAGGTGTATATCAGTATGTAGTGTCTCTACTTTAAAGAGTCCTCTTCTGTTGATGTTCAGGTGTATATCAGTATGTAGTGTCTCTACTTTAAAGAGTCCTCTTCTGCTGATGTTCAGGTGTATATCAGTATGTAGTGTCTCTACTTTAAAGAGTCCTCTCCTGCTGATGTTCAGGTGTATATCAGTATGTAGTGTCTCTACTTTAAAGAGTCCTCTCCTGCTGATGTTCAGGTGTATATCAGTATGTAGTGTCTCTACTTTAAAGAGTCCTCTCCTGCTGATGTTCAGGTGTATATCAGTATGTAGTGTCTCATACTGTGCTGCAGCACCTCTTTTCACCCTCTATCTGAAACCAGAGCCCAGTCTGCTCTGATTGGTTAGCTGGCCGGCTCTGTTGTGATTGGTCAACCACTTAGAGATGTCCCACCCCTTTAGCCTATCACGCACAATGTGTTGGAGCGCTAGCCAATAGGAACGCGAGTGTTACATAGCGATGTCACCATGTTCGGGAAGTAAACAAAGGAGACCAATGGATTTTAGCCTCTGCAGACCATGCACCAAAACCTATATAGAATACACTACAATGATAATAATATTAATAATAATTTGATCCTGTGGGCATTGGCCACAGTAATAACTGTTAAGTGTCTAATATGTGTAATGTGTAATTGTAAAGCGCTTTGAGTGCCTTGAAAATCGCTCTAATAAAAATGTAATTTATTATTATTATTACAAGAAAGGGAAAACCCCCAAACAGCAGAATAGGGTCCCTTTAAGAATTCAAGGTAACACATGGTGAGTTCTTGATATACAAATAACCATTTTTGGAGGTGAGCTTCTCCTTTACAGACCTGTTCATGGGGCGGAAAAAAGACATCTCGCCCTCTGAGTAAACTAGAACATATCCCACATAATGGAATAACATGCCACACTTTAGTGCAGTGGCATAGTAAGCATTTCAATAAAGTTCTATAAAAAGAAAAGGTTAAAAAAAGGGATGATCACAGTGAGTAAGGCTTGTTCTTTCGTCTTAACGTTGGAGGAGTCCGGCTTCAGAGCTGAAGTCCTGAGGCAGCAGGTTATTCGAAAAAAATAAAATATTTGTAGTGGCCAAACGGCGGTACTACAACTTCCGTATCAGTCCGTGACGTCACTGGGCCCAGAAATACTTTTTCCCATTGACCAACATGGGGAAAGAGACGTCTGTAAAGTAGGGGAGAACTATTTTACAGCCCTTATTAGAATCATTATGTCCTAAGAGCTGTAAAAGTGCACTAAAAGCTGAATCCAGATTTATTTTCTCTCTTGGGGGCGGGGCTTAAGGGAAAACTCAACTCTGCAAAATCTATAAGCGCAAATACAGGCACTATTTCTATTCTATTTTATTTGTATTTACTTGCACCATTTGATCTGTTTTATTGTGTTGCCCTGTTGGAGGAGCCTGTGACCTAAGATTTTCATGTACATAACTACACTGTAGCTATGTACAAATGACAATAAAAGCCTTGAATCCTTGAATCTTGGGTAATTTGTGACGTTTTGCTCTCGAGAATCTCAGGCTTGAGATTTTGTCTTGAGATATTGGAAGAGTACATTCAGCATTTTCCTAACAACATCCATGCGTTAGAGTCCCGAGTCCCACCTCATTGAATGCAGCAGGACGGACTCTCGGAGGAGCAGCAACACACAGAAGAACCCATTTTTTTGGGCGGGATCAGGTCCAGGTCCTCATCATCGGGGATCTCATCGAGGCGATATCCGTCCTGGAGCAGCTGCCGGCTCAGATCAGGGTGCACCTGCAGGAAGAAGAGAGTATGATAACGGTTAGAAACATATCCCTGGTCCCCGGCATGAGCTTCAATCTCAGGATCCATGTATTTATGATCCTCTCCAGAATGGAAGGAGTCATCACATACAGAGCATCAACTAGTTCCTGAACAGTGTCCTTCACATGCTGATATCCAAGAGAGGGAGTTACACAGTCACAAGATGGAGGAATAGAAAGCAGTATTCAATGTTTAGTTCAGATTAGCTCCACGTCAGAAATGATCATGCTTGTCATATGTCTATCTCCATAGAGGCTGAATCATCATGTTAATCACAGAGCTATCATATGCCTAAAACAGTCCTGATGCTCTTCTAGGTAATCATACATCCTGTCATGTACACAGCTACAGTTGGGATACCTTTGTTATCATGTGTACTCTGATATTGGAAGAGGACATTCACTATTTGTCCAATAATACCACTCTACTGTCGGATCAAGTCGGGAATTGAACTAGCATCACAGCAGCTTCTCATGCAACAACCATAGGACATATATTTAAGGTCACTGAGGAGACACATGATCCAGACCCTCTAACGTACATTAGATCTGGGAGTGTCACAAGGATTCATGAGCTGCTTTCACACCAAGTACTTAGCCGGTACTTGTTCCCCCCGAACTCTTCAGTCCCCCAAACAGTCCTAGTACATTGTGTTCTCACCGGAATAAGTCCCTGAGGGAGGATAAGGCAAATGAAGCCGCTGACGTCACTTCTTCTTCTTCTGCTTTGGGTTCACAAAACTTTTCGGAGTTTTACGGGGCGTGGTTTGCAATTCGCCCAGCCAATCAGAAATGGTTAGTGTGGCCGACACACCCACGAACCATTTCCTCCTCAGGAAAGTACTACATCGCTAGCAGGGACTATCTGGGGGTGAAAAGGTTTGCGCGAACAAGGGACTAGTTCCAGATCATTTTTGGTATGAAACCAAATCTCCCCCCCCCCCTATCGGCCTAGTTCGGGGGGAAAAGTACTCCGGTGTGAAAGCACCTATGGGTCATTTAAATGTACGCACTGCCGCTAAAAATAACAAACTTAGAATTTGCATTTAAGTACACATTCTAGTTATATCTCTCACAGGCTCCGCCCTCTACTGGACTCTATGGGTACTACCTTATCCCGCGTGCATTCTTCCACTGAGACTTCTATAGACGTAGCCGGCCCAGGGCGGGCCTACCTGAATGCGCGCGCATCACACCGTATAAAGGAGGCCTCGCCTCCTGACTGCTATTAGTGATGGGAATTATGGCTCTTTGAAGGGAGCCGGATCTTATGGCTCCGTTCCTTTCAAAGAGCCGTTCAAAAGAGCCGTTCAAAAGAGCCGTTTTTTTTAAGGTTACTAGGTTTATCTGCAAAATAATCACCAGGATAATGATTGCCAGACCTAATGTCAATAATCGGCATTGTAAACATGACACAAGGTGGCGCCATATCCATGTCATTCATGTCAGTGAATGTACTTTGAATTTACCCTCTGTATGTGTTAAGTAAATAAAGTTGCCTTGCCTTGAATGAAATTCATGCAACTCTTAATATTAGATACTGTGTTTTTAAGTGGCGATGGAGATTATTTGTTGACCCTGCTTTAAAGGATATTTTGCCTTTACAAATGGTGCGCTTTATCACTGCCTGGGTTTTGGTTGAAGTGCATCCAAATGCTGCTGCGTTTTCGCGTTTGGCTCATTTTCCATCCGAAAAACACGTCGTCTACCTGTCCTGTACCACTTGTTATGACTTCTCTCTCGCGCGTATTCCGTTAAGACCCACCCCATCTCACTCCTCGTGCTGAAACCTACCAATCAGAGTAGTGGCGGATCTTCACAGAATACGTTTGGGGAACAAAATCAAGCTTTTTAAAAGGCGAGTGGATTTTGGCAGGCAGTGAGTGCGGACCGTGCGGACCAACGATTGAACGATAACAAGAACGGCTCTCACCAAGTAGGACTCGGTTCCCCTCGTTCGTACCAAAGAGCCGTTCAAAAGAATCGGCTCGTTCGCGACCGACACATCACTAACTGCTATCCTTTCTCTCTTCAGCTAAGCGGAAGTGATTCCACAGAAGACGTAAGACGTATTGAAGTGAAAGTAATAGAGAGAGAGTATGGCTGGACCATAGGACCTGCCCGTATTGTCCGAACCTGATTTCAGGAGTCGATCCGCACCCCCTCTGCTTCACGTGTTTGGGGCCCGACCACGCGATGAACGGTATGGGCTCGACGCCGGCGTGCTCGGCCTGTCAGGCGATCCCGCGGCGCACGAGGGAGCATCGTGGGCAGCACTTCCTGGAGAAGATTGCCCCGCAGGAGGAGTCGGAGGAGCTGGATCTCGACGTCGTGGACATGGGCAATTCGAGAAGCGAAGTTCTCCCTGCCGTGGGCCAGACGGCCCCGGTTCCGATGATCGGCGACGAGGACGCCTCGCTATCCGGAGGTCCAACTCTCAGCTCTGCGCGGATGGATTTCCCAGCGGTGATGACTCTGGCGGCGGAGCGTGTAGGTTTACCGCTCCCCCCACCGCTGCCACCGAGGCCTGTAAACCGCCTAAGATCAGGGGGTTTATGGCCCGGTGCATCCGGCGCAGCCGTCCTTCGTTTCGCCCCAGCTGCCAGAGGTATGGCGGTGTGTGGAGGCGACATGGCAGCAGCCATTTAAAACGAAGGCCCCGATAATCTTGGCGTGTTGGCGTCTTCCTGATCACCCTCAGGCAGACGCCCCCGCCCTCCCGTCTCAGGACGAGAGCGATTATTCGGACCACGCTGTTAGTTAGATAAATAATCTGATTTATGGCGTGGCCACCGCAGCAGGGCGGATGATTTCCCTGGCCACAGTGGCGTCTCGTCACGTGTGGCCAGGATTCACGGCCCTAACTAAAAAAGGACCGAGAGATCTCCTCGGAGCCCCCGTGTTCACGGAGGGGCTCTTTGGGTCGGTCTCCTCGGTCACCCAGTCAGCCGCCTAGAGGAGGAGAGAGTCCAGCTTAGCCGCATGCTATCGCTAGCTCCTCCTCAGGCTCCGCTACGTGCCCGCCTCGCATACCATGCAGAGGAGGGAGCGTAGTACGACAGTGAAGCGGAGGGAGAGGCGCCGGCACGGGGGTCCCGTAGCTGCAGCGCCCTCCACCTCTACGGCCCACCCCGTGGCACCGGCATACCGGCAATCACGGGGAGGGGCTGTCCAACCGAGGCAGGCTCCGCAACAGCAGAGCACCCGGGTGGGGAACTCTATCTTCGCGGAGTTATCTGTCTATTTAATGCCCAGATCCCCGTTAAAACCTTTAAAAAATAAAGATGGTGTTGATCTGTATCCAAGTCTGAGTGTCCTTTGTTTCCACAATACACTTGCACATGTTGATGACTGTACAAATTCCCCATTCGCCGCCCCAGCTATAGCTCCCGTTAGGGAGGAGGCTAGTGGGAGTGCGCAGGTGAGAGTGATAAACCGCAGACAGCACTGTTATAGTGCGGTGCGGGTACAGGGACATTATGACCGACGTTTTTCTGTTAGAAAACATTCTATGCCTGAAGCTAAGACTCCAAATAATGCTGCTTACTATAGTGATAGGGGCTGCATTATAGCATCGCCCGCACTTGTAAAGAGGCGCGTGGCGGTGCGTTCAGGGGTCTTAGTAAAACACACTACGCCTGTAAGAACTCCGGTTAAATGCTGTTTTCCATAGTGAGGAAAATAGCATTATGACGGCCCCCCCTCGAGAGCGGGCCACGGTGCGTTCATGGACAGAAGAAGCTCCGATTAATGCCTCTTTCTCTCTAAGAGGAAGCAGCATTATGGCGGAGCGCGCGCTCTCACGGGAGCGTGCCGTTGTGCGTTCAGGTACCTCAGTGGAAAATCTGCCGTTTTTTTCTCTGAGTGGAAACTGCATTATAGCAACGCCCGCACTCATAAAGAGGCGCGTGGCAGTGCGTTCAGTGGCCTTAGTAAAACACACTACGCCTGTAAAAGCTCCGGTTAATACTGTTTTCCATAGTGAGGAAAATAGCATTACGAGGGAGCGTACGCTCACACGTGAGCGTGCGGCGGTGCGTTCAGGGTCCTCAATAAATAATCGGCCCTTTCTGCTTCGACCCCCACGGGCGAATCTCCCCTTTACGGGGAGTTTTGCGGCAGAGCGGGTCATCAGAGAGTATCACAGCTTTATAGCTGCGGCCCCACAGCTGAGGGCTTGCCCATTAACACAATGTTATGGGGAATGGAAACTCAGCTGTGTACTGACAAGGTGGATGGACAGGACGCTGAAACGGGGCTATTCACTCCAGTTTTGCAGCATCCCACCTCCTGTTATGGGCATGCGAGAGGTAAATCTGTCTTCCCAGGAGGAGATGGGTTTCCTCTCAGCAGAGATTCAGGCTCTGGTGCAGAAACAGGCTGTGTCTGTTGTGCAGCCTCAGCACAGAGAGAAGGGTCTTTATTCCATGTATTTCCTGGTTCTCAAGAAAACAGGGGAATTCAGACCTATTCTAGATCTCCGATGCCTGAATCGCCATATTTCCAGCAGGAAATTCCGCATGTTAACTGTGAAACAGTTACTAGGGCTTGTGCAGCCAGGCGATTGGTTCACCACCATCGACCTGAAAGACGCGTACTTTCATGTGGAAATTGTTCCAGAGCACAGAAAGTATCTGCGTTTTGCCTTCATGGGAACAGCCTGCGAGTACAACAGGCTGCCGTTCGGTTATTCCCTATCCCCACGCACATTCAGTCAAATGTGTGGCCACAGCGCTTCAACCGCTGCGCGCACACGGCATGAGAGTTTTCTTTTACATAGACGACCTCATAGTCATGGCTGGGTCCCGGGAACAGGCAATGTTTTGCACAGCACAGTTGATCACACACCTAACCAAATTAGGTTTTGCGATCAATTGGAAAAAGAGCACCCCCATACCTCACCAACAGGCGTTGTATTTGGGTGTGGTGCTCGATGCAGGCGCGCTGCGTGCCACCCTGTCAGAGAGCAGACGTGCGTCCCTTCTCAGGGCGGTGCACAGGCTGCGACAGGGGGCGACAGTGACAGCTTTAACTGTCATGCAGACTCTGGGTCTCATGGCGGCTGCTCACATGGTGGTCCCGCTGGGGTTACTACATATGCGCCGCCTGCAGAGGTGGTTCCCCAGCCTGCGTTTGGAGGCACAAACGACGGCTGGTGACCATTCCTCCCCCCCCTCAGTGGGGGCAACCTCCGGTTTTGGGGGTCTCCGGACCACCTCCGGAGGGGGTCTCCACTGGGACGGGTGACCTCCTACATCACAGTGTTCACGGACGCGTCCGGAACAGGATGGGGAGGGACCTGCCTGAAGAGAGCTATAGGTGGGCGCTGGGCTCTGACAGAGTTTCGATACAACAACCTCCTAGAGCTACGGGCAGTAGTGTTAGTCCTCCGGCATTTCATGCCCCTAATTCAGGGGAGACATGTAATGGTCAGGTGCGACAACAGCACCACAGTGGCTTATATCAACAGGCAGGGCGGGGTCCGCTCCGCCTCCTTGTTGACCACAGCGGAGGAGCTGTGGTTATGGGCCTCAGAGGTGGTGTTATTTCTGAGAGCCCTCCATGTCCCGGGACTGGAAAACAGAGGGGCCGACCTCAGGTCGAGGGGCGGCCCCCTGCCAGGCGAGTGCTTCACCCGGAGGTGGTGAAGCAGATCTGGGCCCAGTCCTGGGGAGAGTGAGACGAGAACGTCTGGCAGTCATTCTGGTAGCACCGAATCGCGTCAGGGCTCCGTGGTACTCAGAAATGACACAGATGAAGGTGGGCCAGCCCTGGGCGATCCCCCAGTTCTGGGGGGCGATGTCTCAAGGGGCAGGTGCAATCGGGGCGTTACCCACTCTGGGCCGTCCTCTTCAGGCTTGGCTCCTGAGAGGGATAGGCTGAGACAGGGTGGATTGTCTGACAGCGTTATTCAGTCTATCCAGGCAGCTAGAGCAGAATCCACCACAGCCTGTTACAGGCCGAAGTGGCTGAGATTCCAGCATTGGTGTGAGGAGCGGGGAATAGAGCCCCTATCTTGTGAGTTGGGCTCTATTTTATCCTTCTTACACTTACTGGTGGACAGAGGGCTGGCGCATTCCACAGTGAAAGTGTATGCAGCAGCCATCTCGTCCTGTCGTGAGGGTTTTTGGTGGCAGGTCAGCCTTTAATCAACCACTGATGTTGCGGTTTTTACAGGGGGTTAGGAGACTGCGCCCTGTAGTGCACGTCTCCACCCCGCAGTGGGACCTGCCCCTAGTGCTCGAGGCTCTGGCCTCGGGACCATTGAGCCTCTGGAGCTCTCCCCTCTGAAAGCATTGTTGGGGAAAACAGCTTTGCTTCTTGCCTTAACGTCAGCCAAAAGAGTGTCCGAGTTAACTGCTCTGTCGGTGCACCCGAGTTGTTTACTAGTTCGGGGTGGCCGGAGCGGCGCGACACTTAGACCGAACCCCTCCTTTGTGTCTAAAGACCTAAGGAGTGCGTTCAGGTCGAGGGCTATTCAGTTAGGGGGTTTTAGTCTCCCCCTCCATGGGGGGCCAGGGAGGCTAAACTGCACCTCCTCTGCCCGGTGCGTGTGCTAGCATGTTATGTGGAGTGCACGGCTGTCCTTAGACGCACCGAACAGCTGTTCGTGTGCTTCGGGGGCGGGGTGATCGGGAAAGCTCTGTCCAAGAAACGCCTGGCAGGCTGGCTCTGCGAGTGCATTGCACATGCCTACAGACAGGCAGGGAGAGCCTGCCCCACGGGGATTCGTGCGCACTCCACACGGGCTGTAGCTGTGTCAACAGCCTTATTCAACAGTGTGGAGGATTTATGCACAGCGGCGTCTTGGTCGACGCCAGGCCCCTTTATAAGGTTTTATCTCTTGGACATGTCTGGCTCTTTCTCCTCGTCTGTGCTTGCTGGGGCAACACAGAATTTGTAGGGGAGGGGGGGGTTGTGGGTCAGTTGGCATCTGACCCCCTCCCCGGACGTGATGCGCCTTCACCTTTCTTGGGCCCTCTGTTTATATAACAAGGGTTACAATACGTAACCCGGCGTTACTTCTACAGTAATGTGAGGAAACAAGAAAGACTGATTTCTGCTAAACGGCCAGGAAAACCACCCCGACTCCATATCTGAGCAGGGTGTGTGTGTGTGTGTGTGTGTGTGTGTGTGTGTGTGTGTGTGTGTGTGTGTGTGGGTGTGTGACTGGTTTCATGCACAGTGGTGATATGTTATGATGCAGTACTGCACTTCTAATCTACACAGTGTTTTTTTAAATTGACTCAACATTGATAACACTTTCCCCTAAATTGCTCCTGTGGGGATTGTACTCCACAGTATTGAGTGTATGTAAGTCACTTTGGATAACAGTAAAAATTCATAAAAACAACACACTTTAAATATATAAAAGTCTAACAAGTGACATCTAATGTACTTTTTTAATATAATTAGTTATACTTTTACTTCAGTAAAGGATCTAAATACTTTTTTATATAAGTATAATGTGGTGTTGCGACTGTCAGACAAAAACAATCTTAAAATAATGAACCAGTTTTACACCGTGCAGAAACCGTGTGCTGACAAAGGGATGGATTGCACAGAAGTCACAAAGATGCAAATAGAGAAATGAAGCCCATCTTTGAACATATTAGCATGAACAGGAAACACACTCATAGTCACTTGGCCAGTTCGACTGCATCGTGAGGGAAATATGTGAAAGCATCTGAAGGAGAACTCACCTCGGCTGAAGAGTATCCCGAAGAGTACTGCTCAAAATCTATCTCCTCGTCACTGTGAAGACAAGCAGGAAGTTCTTTAAATCCGTCTTCAAACACACTGATGTACTTCAAATTATTCCAATATAATAATAATAATAATAATAATCCTTATATTTATTATAGCGCTTTATCAATGACTCAAAGCGCTTTACAAATACACATTACACATACAGATCATACATGTAATGGTCTACTGTGGACAATACCCACAGGAGCAAGTTCAGGTGAAGTGTCTTGCCCAAGGACACAATATGACATTGTTTTTTAAATGGAGGATTTTCTGATAAAATGCAGGTTTTTAGGAGCTTTTTGTTTTGGTTTATTATGTTTTAATCTCAAAAACACAGAGAACTCAATCAAACAGTGTTCCTACATCAAAACTCTCCCAAAAGGAAGTCACACTGCCTCAAATGTAAACAAAAAAAAGCACCTTACAGTCTTAATAACTCAAGGATTATATATATATTAAATACAAAATCAAATATGGGAGGGCGTCAAAAGAATTAGGAATGTATGGAAAGACTCTCTTAATGTATCAAAGTGTTGTCTGATTAAAGTGGATTTAAATCCCTCTTTTCTCCAATAAAGAACTAAACAAACACTACATCTCTCAAACATGTGGAATAAAATGTGAGTTAAGGTGATTTCTAATTCCTTAGGGTTCCTCTATCAGCCCAAAAAGACCAAGAAAGTCTTTATGTTTGTTTAGAAAAACATTTAAGGAGTATCCTTTGAGTGCAAAATGCAATTTGGAGTCGCCTGTTTACAGCCAGCTCTTTGCATGGTACAACAAAACCAAATGAAAGCTCAGCGCAAGTTCAATCAGGAAGACCAAGCTCTTCATTCATATTACATGTCATTTCAATCCTCTCTCCTCCCTCATTAAGTGATCGGGTGTCACTCCCCAGCTAACCAATCTCTCCTCTCTCCATTCTCACAAGCCTATCATAGCTCCCGCTAATCCCTTTATATCTGCTCTTCCCTCTGTCAGCTGTCAGTTCAGGTGACAAAACGCAACCCTCCTCCACCCATTTCGCCTCCCGTCTCCTTCAGGACCAAGCTAAGGCTGCTTTTACACGGGAACGTTTGCGTTTATGCACAGTATGCGTTTTCAAAAAAGTCTTCCGTTCACATGCATTCGTTTCATTTAACGTGTCTGTTCAAACGAGACCGCTGGAAACGCTGTAGTACATATGCTGGGACTGTAAGTGGCGCTGTAACTTCCGCCACAAAATACACCAAAAGCAGCGAAGAAGACCCCGGAGCAATGTTGCCATGGCTACCCTTCTGTTTATGCCCCGCGGTGGATTTAGCAACATGTAGTGGTTCATGTAATTCTCCATGTCCACTTGTTGCTGATGGTTGTGGTAGAGGAGCTGTAGATGTTGCACTAACATCTGTAGCATGGTCATTAGCAGTAGCACTAGCAGTAGCTACTGGCCATGCTACAGCAGTGAGCAGCAGAGGCAGGGAGAGGTGGGGCTATCGTTATTTTTTCAGGAAATATTCGTATAGAGGCGATTACACGGACTCGTTTGACCCCCCAGAGAGTTTCGTTTGCAAATCTATCCACCTTGGGACCCGTTATCGTTTGTGGGGTCCGTTCGTTACGGCCTCGTGTAAATAATAGGGCTATACGTAAGAGAAACTATGCAGATACAAGCCGTTTCGTTCTCGTGTAAATGTGGCCTAAACCTTCTCCCTTCAGTCCGTTCTCACCTACTTATCACCACCACCAGTGTCTAGACCCCGGGGGGTTTCATCGGAGCGGTTCTCCCCCTCCTGAATGATTACCCTGCAAACTGGGGCCTAATCGCCAAACACCATTCCATTCTCCTGTTATAATTCTGGCAATCATTATTACATTCATATTACGTGTCCCGTAATAAATATGTATTTCATACATCAACGTCTCTCCTGATTGAACTAGAGATGGAAGACCAAAAGACGGTCCAATGAAACTCACCTACTTTAAACACTTAGACTTTATAGAGTTTTGGATATGTGCAGATATTGCAACACCAAAGCTGGTTGAACCTGTCTGAAAACTTTAAAAACAAAAGTCTATTTGCATGTCTGCATGTCAACAGGAGTTTTAGAATAATATTTACTTCCATTAGTCATGAGCTATTAGACAGTCTTTTTTTATATATAAGGGCAAAAATTGAATATTCTGTGCATGAAAACTCTCAACTGTATCTCTACTAAGGGACACTAGAGCTGGACACATTCTAGTAAATTCCAAGGTGACATGTTCTATGGACAGAATGTAAAACGCTAAGTAGATCAGTACGTTATTCAGGGTTCAGGCAGAGGTGGGAAGAAGTGGAGTACAAATACTTCGGTGCTTTTTTCTGGTATCAGTACTTTACTTCACTACTTATCTTTCTGACGACTTTTTACTTTGACTTCTTACATTTTGAACACAAATACCTGTACTTTCTACTTCTTACATGTTGAACACAAATACCTGAACTTTCTACTTCTTACATTTTGAACACAAATACCTGAACTTTCTACTTCTTACATGTTGAACACAAATACCTGTACTTTCTACTTCTTACATTTTGAACACAAATACCTGTACTTTCTACTTCTTACATTTTGAACACAAATACCTGTACTTTCTACTTCTTACATTTCCCAAACAGGCTGGTTCCTTTAGTTTGAATGTGTGTCTGGTGGCGTGATCATTATTATTTAGAGTCATTGCGTGCCTATTGATTTGAACACGATCCGTGTATCCATCATTTCCTGGTCTTCTCTAAAGAAGAGGGACCAATGAAAACGTTGTCATGTTGCCGTTGTTCAGCATGGAAACATTCATTAGCTAACAATGACATTATTGTTCTATTAATATAAAGGGAGGTCAGGTACTCTTTAAAACAGCTGCTAGTTATGGGTACTTTTTACTGAAGTACATTTCAAAGCCCTCTTTACTTTTACTTGAGTAAAGAAGTTTAGTCAGGACTTCTACTTTTACCAGAGTATTTTTAAACACGAGTATCTGTACTTCTACTTAAGTAAAGGATGTGTACTTTGCCCTCTCTGGGTTCAGGTGACTGCCTTCAGTAGGAATTGAACCCTGTGAACCTCACCTGTCTGAGTCCAGAGCCACTAAACTGTCCCCAGCATGTTGACTCAGAGCAGCGTAGCCCTTGTTATACTTCACCGTCCTGGAAGAAGAAACCAGAAAATGTTTTAAAAATCGTGCAAAACAAACATCGTTAACCCTCTGAGACCCACGGTCCCAAATATCACGTCATCTTCAAAGCATAACTCATGAACAGAAGAAGTTAGAAGCTTCTAATCACTTCTGGCACAATCCCAACAACTGTGTGCAATTTTCTGTGTTGGATGTTTTTTTTCAATATTATGGTTCGAAGTTCTGTTTAAGTTACAAATTCAAGCTCCGTTTTTAGTCGTTTTTTTGTTTTATGGGCAAATATCCCCTATTATAGTGTATAGAAGTCTTTAATGAGTAACATATAACATTACCTGAGGTTGTGCTGATTTCTGCGATGTGTAAAACTTGATTATCATTGTAGCCATGCCTCATACTGCTCATACCCCTCTATTACAGCCCTGTTCCAAACAGACTGATTCTGCTTTAAAGTGGACCTATCATGCTATATTTGATAAATATATTGTCGGGCCATACCTATATAAAACATGTCTGTGAAGTTTTTTTTCAAAATACCAAACAGATCATGCATTTTAGCCATGCCTCATTTCGCTCTATTTGCTCTTTTTCAGCCCTGTTTTTGCAAGGGCTGATTCTGTGGCAAATGAGCTGCAGCTGACCACGCCCCCCTGCAGAAGAGGGGGGCGTGGCACGGCCCCGGCACGAGCGTCATGTTACCATGCTTGCTGTGAATACGAGAGGACGATAACGGTCGTATCCGCTACAGTTCTCTATCAGATAGACGGTTCGGCCACACGAGGCCGACACGGAAACGCAGAAAACGATAACGATAACGATAACGGGTCCCAAGGTGGGTAGATCTGCAAACGAAACGCTCTGGGGGGGCAAACGGCTCCGTGTCTACGCCTATACGATCATGTCCTGATAACGAAGAAATAGCCCCGCCTCTCCTGCTCAGATATCAGCTGCTGGGCTGTCAGAAGAGGGGGAGGAAAAGAGACGCTCCGTTTTGTATTCTTATATTATTATATAGAGTCGTTATCAATTTGTTTTAAAGCTCAATAAATAACAAAGAAGACCTCTGACCGGCACTTTTCTAATTTTGTCCGGAAGATTTAAACTTTAACGGACATGTTGACCGGCGAAAAATCTAACTGAAACTCTGCTGCACGGTCCTCTCGTCCCTTGGAAGAGGCGGAGAGGTGGGTGTTTGTCATCTGCTGGTGGACTACCGGAGAGAATTACAGCCGGAGCAAACGCTTGCCTCGGGGAGGGAGAAAAAGAGCCAGAGCGTCCACAGCGGAGAATAAACAGAAGGGCAACCATGCGCGGGAAGTCTACTTCGCTGCTTTTGTCGCAGACTACAGCGCCACTTACAGGCCCGGCATATGTACTACAGCGTTTTGTTTTTTGACACTTGGTGAGTTCCCTGACACACCGGGGACACATATTTATGTAAAAAAGACATAAAAAAGTGCATTTTGCATAATAGGTCCCCTTTAACTTCTGTACGTACCACTTCGAAAAGCATTTGGATTGAAGTGATGCTAATGCAGTAGCTTTTAATCTGGTTAGGGTTATAGACAGGAAGTGTATCTGCAGGACTCTTGCTTTTTGAGTTGGTCTCTTCACGGTTGAATGCACTTATTGTCAGTTGCTTTGGATAAAAGTGTCAGCTAAATGAAATGTAATGTAATCTTCAAACGTCTCCTCACCTCTTGGCTCCTTGTCGGGGCTGATGCACCACAGGGGGTCCTGGAGAAAGAGCTTTCTTCTTCAGGGCTTTCCTCGCCATCTCCCTGTGTTTCTCTGTGGAAAATAAACAGACGTGTGTTTTTAGTCTAGTTTAGAGTCCTGTTGTGAACCCAGAAATGTTGAGTACCCCATTTTTTAAGATAGAAATGTAAAGTACGGGTTTCCAGCACATAGAAAACAATTTAGGAGTGTTTTGGGGGGTTATTGAGGATGTTGAATCCAATTCTGACATTTTCAGGATCATAAGTGGCACTTTTAACCTGAAAGAGGCCATATTTGTAGTCCTTAAGGCAGGGGTGGGGAACCTTTTTCCTCTCAAGGGCCATTTCAATTTTTTCAACATCCTCCGAGGGCCGTACAAATTATTGACCTCTGCTTAAAAATACAAAAATCACAGCCCATTCATTTGGCCTTTCTTTCATGCTGTGCAAAGAAAAGGCAACCTCTTAATCCAGATATCTTACCATGACTCGCGCATGCATTCACGTGCACGGTGTGGCATGACCACCAAAACAGAAAGATATGGACACAAGATGTGTGCAAATGTATTTAGTTTCCTATCCATGTAAACATGATTTAAGTGGGGGGTGGACCTAACCTGCTCTAGGGGGGTCCGGGGTGCATGCTCCCCTGGGAAGATTTGTTTTTAAATGTTGAAGTTAAAAGCATCAATCTGGTGCACTTTGAGAGCAACATTAGGAGATCTATGGATACATATCTCAACACCCATATGAAACAGAACTGTAAACAGATTTTATTTCTCTTTATGGATATTTACAAATCACTCCCCTTTCAAACTGTATTCTTGTTTATTAATAACAACTTTATTTTACTGTCATATAGTATTTTATACCTGTTTACTTCATTCTCTTATTTTTTTATAACTTTAATGATCATATAAAGATGTGCCTTTACCTCACTGGTTGTAGAAAAAGCTTCTTATATTCGTTAGCATAGCTAGCTAACCAGATGCTAATAACAACAAAGTTATTGACTGTATGATCAGTATGACAGATGAACAGATCGCCACTGGGCTTTCAACTAAAGAAAGCTCTCCTCGTGTCTCTCCGAGTCCTGTTTCCAATTGCTTCAGAAGTTTCCCCCACAATAACAACCATTATAATCTGACCAACACACAGGCGTTATATAATAGTTAATAGAGTTACTCACGTAGTTTGAGGTGTATTGCTGGAGCTCTCGACATGATGTAAGGTCCTCTTTTCTCCACTGGCCGGATGCCTCCGTCAGCTGTTTTAGGTCTGGTGCCATTACTGGGTCCCTGAGGACGGAGGAATTGAGAACAATCTGTACATTAATATATGTTTGGCAGCTAAATAATCATAATAATAAAGCATTATTTATATAGCACTTTTCATACAACACGTGCAGCTCAAAGTGCTTTTTACAAAATGAATCTGAAGCCAGTCCCCAACTCCGGGGACTTCCGTCCGGGGACTCCGGGTGGCAATATACGCCGTGAAGTTGTTTGCGGCCTGCCAGTAAACCCAAATCAGAAGTAGAAGAAGTGACGTCAGCGGCTTCATTTGCCTAATCCTTCCCCAGGAACTTATTCCGGTGTGAACGCGATCTGTACTTAGTTCATGAGAACTAAAGAGAACTAAGTTCTCATGAACCTTTGTGGGAAAAGTACTGCGGTGTGAATGCGCCTACAGTATACAAGTACTTTTAGTACTTAATTTGGAGGCAATACTTTTTTAATTCAGGACTTTTACTTATAACATAGCATGTTTTCTATTAAGCTACTTTTACTTAAGTTAGAAATCCAATTAGTTCTTCCACTTCTACATAAGTTACTCCATAACTGTCTCTAAATAAAGTGAAAACTCCTCCAGATGTCCCCAGCAGTTCTGTTTATGGAATAAGAAACGATAACACTGTAGGTGTTTATGGGCCAACTATATAATGTCACTTAATGTCAATCAAACTCAATCTTAGCATTGTTTTACGAAAAAGAGAAACACTTCATTTTGTAAACACGACTAATATAAACAACTGTCAAAATCCCAGGCTAAGCTAATCAGCTAGCAGCTAGCCTATGGATGTATAAAGAGACAGAGGCGTTCATTCCTATGAGAGTTGCTCAGTGGCGCTTGAAGCCAAAAATAGAGCGAGTGTAGGTTCAGAAAGTACCCGGATATAAGCCCAAGGCGCATGCGCAGTCTGAGTTTTATTATAAACTTTAGCTTTTGTGTCGTTGTTCCACATAACTTGCCAGGATTTAATTATTCATCGTGCTTTATTAATTATTATACTTCAGTTTGCTGCTGTAATATAGCTGTTTTTATACCAGTGACATCCTTGAAGTTGTAGTACCGCCATTTGGCCACTACGCCCATTCATAAAAACCGTCTTCAACTAGCCTCCCAGTTTCTATGTACAAGTTAGCGTTAGCTATCTTTAGCAGACATTACCGGGAAGACTTGCGGCTCCAGCAGGGTGTCCTTCTCCGGTTCCTCTATGATGTCGTTCATCATCTTGTCGGTAGTTGTCACAATTTATTCCACAAAACAGCCATGGTGGGACTTTGTTGCTCTTCTCCTCGGGAGCAGGGAGGCACTTCTGTCAGCTAATGCATGAGTGAAAAGGTTCCATACTACTTCCGGGAGAAGTTTTTCAAAATAAAACATGAGAATAACTGACGTAGCAGGGAATTGTAAAGAGGATTATTTCAACCAATCAGAGGTGGAATAAGTACTCAGATCTTGTACTTGAGTCAAAGTAGAAGTACCACAGTGTATGAATACTCTGTTAGAAGTAAAAGTCCTGCATTCATACTTTTACTCCACTACAAGTTAGAAGTAAATGGTGTACTTTTACTCCACTACATGTATTTAATACCTTTAGTGACTTTACAGATGTGGATGAATGATGTGAAATATAATCAAGTGTTAAATCAGACTTTAGTTCCACCTGGAGTAAATTCACAAGCTACCCTGCAGTATACAAAGTCATTCAAACTAGCTGCACCTTTACCAGCTTTGAGAACACTTTAATGATCAATCATTATAAAACATATCATATATATTATTCTGAAATGGACCAATCTGCACAATCACTACTTTTACTGTCGCTACTTTAACTATATTTTGATGATAATACTTTTCTACTTTTACTTGAGGAACATTTTGAATGCAGGACTTTTACTGTAACAGAATATTCCTATACTCTGGTACTTCTACTTTTACTCAAGAACAATATCTGAGTACTTCTCCTTTTACTCAGGTAAAATATCTGAGTACTTCTCCTTTTACTCAAGTACAAGATCTGAGTACTTCTACTTTTACTCAAGAACAAGATCTGAGTACTTCTACTTTTACTCGAGAACAAGATCTGAGTACTTCTCCTTTTACTGAAGTACAAGATCTGAGTACGTCTACTTTTACTCAAGTACAAGATCTGAGTACTTCTACTTTTACTCAAGTACAATATCTGAGTACTTCTCCTTTTAATCAAGATCTGTGTACTTCACCTCTGCTGATAAACAGAGGGAGGAGCTGCAGACAGGGAAGTGGAAGTGATGAAGCCAGACTCCATTTTACACTTCGACAGAGCACGAGCAACAGGGTGAGTGTTGATTAAAACCAGGCTCTGCTGGGTTTTTAATACATTATTATTACTCTGTTATACTGTAGGCATATGTCACAAAAAACATTTTTTACAGACTTGATCAAAAATCAGCAACGTAGAGTCAAGTGTGACTTTTTCAAATGTATTTCACTTTTTCATTTCCTGCCTGGACCGACAATATTTTCACGGACCAGCCTTCAAAGTATGGGGGGATAAAGGACTGTAGTGCTGATGCTCCGGCACCGTTTTTGCGTGCTCAAATCAACTGTTGTGAACGTCCTTTGTTGAAAGTAGTTTAACTTTGGAGCAGCAACGCGCATCACTTGTGAAGTGACGACAAACAGAATCACAGGTTAAGTCTTCCGGTTTCGCTATGAGTGGTCGCATTTCCGAGAGCTCCCGCATTGGAGGTTATTCCTCACGATTTTTCACATATTTCATCCTCCTGACAATATGGATTATGGACTCCTACCTCAACTCATCAATGAGGCAACATCACTTAGTGAAGGAGAGTAATGAAAGCGGGGATAAAATGAACCACAATGACTTTTACCTTCTCAACGGCTGGGAAAGGAAACACCTCGCTTTTGGAAGTGCAAGCATTCATGCATTATTAACTGCAAACCCGACGCGAAAGTACTTACCCCCGTCAGGCAAACTAGACCGAAGAAGTATGATCGTCTTGGTCTTATTGTTAGCGGGAGACATCCATCTGAATCCGGGCCCGGTGCAGACAAGAAGCCAGTCCTGCAGGCTGGAGGAGCTAGCATCACAACTAGCATCACAACTAGCATCTCTTCCGCTACAGCAACAACTACGCGACGACAACAGAGACCATGGAGACAGCGGAGACCGAGGAATCAACGGAGACTTCGACATTCCCCCGGGGACGCCTCGGCAGACAGACACGCATGAGGCAGTGACGAGAGGAAGAGAACCGAGATCCGAGGGAACAAATATCCACCATGTTGTTAGCCACCCTGCTAGCATATCGACGGCTAAAGCTACAACGGAGCCTCCCTCCCCCCACCACCCCACCGCTCCAAGCACCACGGCAGGCCGCAAGCCGTTTGCTGTAACGGACAAAGACAAATATCTTCAAGCTGACGACATTATGCATTTAAACAACAAAAATGGACTACATATTTTTCATCTGAACACTAACAGTCTGAGACACAAACTGGCTGAACTCAGGCAACTGTTCATGAACGGTAAGGCAAGCATATTATGCTTTTCTGAGACCAAATTGGACAATTCCATTACAGATTCAGAGATTGAAATTGAAGATTATCTTGTAGTGAGAAGGGACAGGAACGTGAATGGAGGTGGTGTCTGCATGTACATACATAAAGACACCAATTTCAAAAACCGTACTGACCTGCATCATGAAAATATTGAATCTGTGTGGGTTGAAATTCTTTTTGACAATGCTAAATCTGTAATAGTCGGGACAATCTATAGACCACCGGAACAGAGTGACTTTTATGATACATTAGATGGGTGTTTGGCTGATGTGGGGGATGTAGAGACAATTATTATTGGAGACTGGAACACGGATATGCAACGTAAAGACACGTCCGTCTTCAAGTCCTTCAGTAGGATTTGTGATCTGCACGGCTTCAGCCAGCTAATCACCCAACCCACCCGGGTATGTGAAACAACACAAACTACCATTGATCTCATTCTGACCTCTGACAGGTCCAGGATCTCCAGTAAAGGGGTTATAGCATGCGGTTTAAGTGATCATTATATGATATTCTGTACCCGCAAAAAGCTAAAACAAAAGGCCGGCTGTCACAAAACAGTCATATCTAGAGACCTCAAAAACTACTCTAGCGAGGCCTTTAACCTAGAACTGGAGAGCCTGGACTGGTCAGATGAGCTCAGTGGTACACAAGTTGAAGAAACATGGCTTGGTTTCAAAAACAAATTCTCTGCAATACTCAATGATTTGGCCCCCCCTAAGAACAACCAGGGTAAAAAATCGCGCTGAGCCGTGGATGCACTCCGGCATACTGACCGCCATGAAAACCAGAGACAAAAAATGCTCTGAGTTTCATAAAAGTCAGTCAATGCTTTCCAAAAGCACGAGCAGTGAACTCCAGGCCCACGTGACTGAACTAAAAATTGAAAGAAACAGACTAAGAAATGACGTAAGCTCCATGATCAAAACTGCCAAAAAGAATTTCATCAATGACAAAACTGAGGAAAACAAAAATAAACCCCGTGAACTTTGGAAATTACTCAATAACCAGCTTGGCTGCAGTAAAAAACTCAAAACGAGATTTTCAAACGTAAACATAAAGACAGATAACAGGCTCATCACAGACAAACTGGATGTGGCCAAGTACTTGAACATTTTTTTCACAAACATAGCCACAACTCTTGTAAATAAATTACCCTCCCACTCAGGGCTTTTTGGAGTAGATCACATCATGACCTACTACAAAAACCTAGGGGTACGCAAAGATGATTTCAGTCTAGCAAGGGTAACAACAGCAGAGGTACTCATTAAACTGAGCGCCCTCAAACCTAACAAGGCCACTGGCCACGACAATATCCCCTCCAAATTCCTCAGAGACACAGCAACCGCCATCTCACCAGTCATAGCTCACATAATTAACCTCTCCATAAAACAGGGAAAAGTACCCAAAGACTTCAAAATTGCAAGAGTAACCCCCCTGCACAAAAAGGGCAGCAAATTGGACCCAGGCAACTACCGCCCTGTTTCTATACTTACCTCCATCTCGAAAGTCATGGAAAAAATAGTATATGAACAGGTCGAAAAGTACCTCGCAGAAAAGAAACTAATCTATGAATTTCAATCTGGCTTTAGAACATCCCACTCCACTGACACATGCCTTCTTTATTTGACCGACCACATCAAACAAGAGGTGGACGAGGGTAAATACTGCGGCATGGTGATGCTGGACCTACAAAAGGCTTTCGACACTGTCAATCACCCCATTCTGATTGACAAGCTAAAAGCAATTGGTTTTGATAAACTATCGGTGAGCTGGATGCAATCCTACCTGGAGGGGAGAGAACAGATGGTGGAGGTAAACGGTACTCTGTCCCCCCCCCTCCCAGTGAGCTGTGGTGTTCCACAAGGAAGCATATTAGGTCCGTTACTGTTCCTAATTTATGCAAATGACATGTCATCAGCATGTGACTGCAACTTGTTCCTGTTCGCGGACGACTCAGCCCTGCTGGTCTCTGACAGGAGCAGATTGCAGGTTGAAAAAACCCTCAGCTCCGAGCTCGGCAGAATCTGCACCTGGCTCGCCGATAATAAATTATCATTACACCTGGGTAAAACAGAGTCCATTCTCTTCGGTTCGAAACATAATCTCAGCAAATCCGACGACTTCTCAGTTGCAGTGGGTGACATTATTGTCACAAGTAAGAAGGAAATTACATACCTAGGATCTATTCTTGAGGCAAACCTCTCCTGTGACAAAATGGCATCCAATGTAATAAAAAAAGTCAATCAAAGAACTAGATTCCTATACCGGATCTCCTCTCTGGTAAACAAAAACACCCTGAAAACTCTGGCAGGAGCACTCATTCAAGGGTACTATGACTATGCTTGCACGTCATGGTACCATAGCACCTCCAAGGCGCTAAAAACAAAACTTCAAACATCGCAAAATAAACTGGTCAGACTACTGCTTGACCTTTCATCTAGAACCCACCTCACCTCTGCCCACTTTGACAACCTAGGATGGCTTAGAGTAGACGACAGAGTACAGCTACTTGCAATGGGCCTGGTCTACAAGATCCACTACACCTCTATGGTACCCATGTACATGTCAAAATTCTTCCCAAAGGTCAAGGAATACCATGATCATAACACCAGAGGGAGCTCCACAAATCATGTAAAACCCAGATTTGGCACAAAAAAAGGGGAATACACGTTTCGCAATTATGCCACATCAAGGTGGAACGCTCTTCCCACAACTGTAAAGGAAAGTAAAACTATACTTACCTTCAAAACCTCTCTTAAAGAGCACCTTCGGGGGAAAGCATTGCAAAACTGGCCCCGGTAATGGTACAAATCTCAACCTGTCGTACAATGGACAGCTTCCCCCCCCCCATCTATGTATATACTCGCATTTTAGACTCTGTTACTAACTGTATATCTGTAGACTTGGTATGTCTTAAATGTCCGGTTAGGATGTATTAGAACGAAATCTAAAATGAAAATTGTAAATAATCCATCTGTATGTAAAAAACCACCTGTATGTAAATTGTAAATAAGCCATCTGTATGTCATATATGTCTTATATGTCTTAAATGATATGATGAATTGGAAATGGGGGACCCTGATGTAAACAAGACGAAAGTCTTTCTCTGGTCTGCATCCCCTTAACAATTGTATGTTTTGAGCTGTACTGTACTGTACCCAATATACAAGCTGTTAATAAACTTTTCAATCAATTCAATCAATCAACAGAACGGCCGGCAGGCACCGCCCTTCCTTGTTTACGTTTTGAAACGACATCATTGAAGTTGCGCTGACAGGCGACAGAGGTCCACCGTTTCCTCGCAGCGAGGCTCCCCCCGTTTTGCAAAGATAGCAGCAGAAATGTCATTGCTACATGTGCAGGGATATTTAGACTTTAAAATGCTGCTTGGTCATTAATTTTGGTCTCGGCAAACAATATTATGAAAGGTATGGGATTAGTTTCGTGTCATTAAGATAAAGCAACACTTCCTCAGAATCAAGCAAAACTAAGAGTTTAAGAGAAAAAACCAGAGTCAAGCTAAATAAATGTAATTTAAAAAATAAAACTATAAGTTGCAAACAAATCATTTGTGTAATCATGTAAACTACAAGTCTTTTTTTCTTTGTTTTAACATATCTTTTTGTTTGCAGTTCTCTTTGCTTCTTTCTCAATGATCAGACTTTTGCTCTCGCTGCAGCTATTCTCCTTTGCACTCCTTCATTTTTTGTTTGCGATTCTGACACAAACGTCCCAGGTAGGCGGGACTTT